ACGCCGGCTGACTTGTGACTCATATGATCAAATCTCATACCGACCATTTTACTATTGTCGATTGTTTTCATCTGTTTTTATGTGTTATCTTTATGTGTTATATCTCCCATTATTATTAAAATTTAGTATATAAACCGTTTCATGCTATACCCGTGACTCCAGTCATTCTTAAACAACCTCCAATTCTCCCCGAACCTAATTATTGGCCCATTTGTTTATTTTTTCTTTTAATTATCTTATTGTATCCTGTAATCCGGTTACACAAGGAAGTAATTTTTATTTAAAATGGCTTGAGCAATAGTGGGTGCTTAAAGATCTAAAATTCGCACTTAGTTTTTGAATTTACGATCACTTGACCTCATTAACATTAACATAGCATAACATTCTACCTCCTTTCAGTAAAAAAATAAGTAAATTATGATTATTCGTCACCAAAAACTGTGCGATGCCACCAACAACTAGTTTTATTATGTAATCACATAACATAACAGCAATAAACAATTAAAATTGGCCCTTGTGGATCCTCCGCTAGAGGACAGTAGACATCTTTAAGACTGAAAGTAGAAGGTTCATGATGAAAGTACTGATGCTAATACTTCTCTTGGATTAGGTGACCTACCCTGACTTCACACAGGAGACATCAGCGGTGTGAAACGGCAGTGGGACGGCTTACTCATGCGCTTCGCGGTGCATCAATCCACACCAGGAGGGGTCCAGCCGTAGAGCAGCTTCTCCGCCGTCATCCTCACTGGACTTGCGAGATCCTAAAATCCCTCGAGACAGTCTGACAAGCACAAGGAGTTAATGCTTCAGATCAACTTGAGAACATGATAAATAATTGAAGCATCTTTTAAAGCCACAGTTGCCATCAAGCATAGTGAATAGCTTTATTGGTGTGTTACATCAGGTATTACAGCAGAAAAGGTGCCTACAGCAGTTCAGAAAGGTAAGATAGTGTTGTTTTCCTTGATAGTTGACAGTATCTGGTGTGTCCGGATTTCCCTTTTCTCTTTGTTTTCTTAAAAAAACATTTTATTAATTTAGAAAAGAATATGTTTTTGCATCTAGAGAAGGCCACAAAATGTTTTTCCTCATAAAGCTGTTTTGTATGAAAAGCTTCTTCGCTTCCAACTAAGATCACAGTTCCATCCATCTGTTTAGACAATATTTTCTCATTTCTTCTAAACACCTTTCTTCTACAGTATAAGTAGACGTTGATGCACAGTAGAAGTTCTACTCCTCTCTGAAATCATAAATTCTTTAGGTCCAAGATGGGAGAATTAATTTCCCAGGAATTCCAAATACTCTAGATACTCTGGACTCCTAGGTGACTTTTCTGACTGGATTTGTTCGCCTTTTAACGTTAAAGCTGTCCCATTCATTAGCAGGCATTGGAGGCATAGCTCTCTTAGTTTGAAAAGAAAAAGTCTCATTATACCTGACTTACACACTTTCTTTAAATTCAAGAAAAAATTATTTGAAGATGTTTTGCAATTATACAGAAGGCTCTTGAATGTGGGCAGTCTTTCATTCTTTTTATCTTGTTCTTTTTATAGAAATAAATATAACCTTTTATAACTTCTTTGAAATTTTAAAGAAATCTTCTACTTGTTGCTGCCAAACGTTTGTGATCAAAGTTACTGCATGATGTACAATACTTCAAAGCACTTGTATTTTTGTTGCCTTCGATGGTGCTTGCATCATTCGTTTAACTTTCGGGCCAAAAGATTTTGCATCTCCACGAACAAAAACTGAAAAAACAGACAACATATAGCTCCCCTGATGTATTTTTATTGCCCACCTTCAAAAAACTAAATTCCGAGTGTCTTTCTTGTCAGCAGGGTATTTTATGAACCACTGAGAAGACATGTAATTAGACAGCCTATCAAGCCTTCCTATACATGTGACTTTATTGTCTGGCCATGACCCATAGACAGATTTCAGTTGTGGGGCGGAATCTACGGTTGTCTTTCAAACGGCCTCTGAATGCTATTGGACAATGAATAACAAAACCTCCACGCCGCTACAGAAGTTAGTCAATGGGGCAGTCCACCATACATTGTCCAAGAAGATGCAAATACATCATTTTTCCAAATAGGGGTGGTGCAGGAGTTAAGTGCTCGCCCCATAATCAGAGGGTTGCAGGTTCGAGCCCCGCTCTGTTTGTTGCTGTCATTGTGTCCTTGGACAAGACATTTAACCCCCCTTGCCTCCTGGTGATGGTTGGAGGGACCAGTGGCACCAGTACTCGGCAGCCTCGCCCTTGTCAGTGTGCCCCAGGACAGCTGTGGCTAGATTGAAGCTCATTCCCACCAGCGTGTGAATGGGTGAATGACTGATTGTGTTGTAAAGTGCCTTAGGGGGTTCCAACACTCTTGAAGGTGCTATATAAAATACAGGCTATTTACCATTTACCATAACAGACTTAAGTACCTCTATCTGCTCTTGACTTGAAGAAAATCCCAAGTCTAAATAGTCCAATGCCATTTCAAATTTCCATCACCATCTTTGTTGTTTCAACCCGTTCCAACATCCTGCCCACCAAACCAATAGAGCGCTGTGATTGGCCCATCAAGTCAACAGAGCACATTCATTGGCAAAGCACAAAACTGCTCAGGCCAATGGTAGATCTGCTGACGCTCCAAAGGAGCATGGCTAAGCAAACTTGCAGAGCAAAATCTTTTAGCTACTGCGACGGTCAGTCTAGATTTCTAGGCAGATAATTAGACACATCTACATCTAGATCTTTAAAATATTTTGCAGAAAGTGACCATTCTCAAAACATTAGGAATTGCTTTTCTCATGAGGAAACTGTCATTGATGGAAAGAATAAGTTTGATGAGTGAGACTTTTGTCTTTTTTCTGGGTTCTGGTACCAGGGATGGAGGCGAGCATCTTTTTGGAGTCATCAGGTTGTAGTGTAAATATTTTCTGAACTGACATCCTCTTTTGCAATCCAGTTCCAGATCTTGGAATATGTGAAAGCCCAGTTGAAGCACTCACGTTGGGTTTCCCTGCAGAGGGACGCCACAGCTGTTGAAGACAGCAGCTTTTCTGTCACATGAAAAAAATGTAAAAAGCTCAGACTTGCTCAGCAGCTCATCATCAGTGTTTGGTTCCAGTATTTTGGTGGAACAATGAGTTTATACCATGTTTTGTTGATACCTTTTATGTTATTTAGGTAATATTGTCTACTCATGATAGATTTGACTTATTTTTCAGACCATTAAAGTTTCTGTGTGCTTGACGTTTCCTTGTTTACATCCTGTTTTCAGCTATAAATATCTTTAATAAAAAAACTGTTATTTTTGCACATGTTGAAGGGGCTGAAGCAGAGTCTGTTCCCAGTTGGAGCTTCTGTCATCTTCTGATCAAAGCAGCACATTCTCGTACATATCTCAGTCTTTCAAACAAGCTTAAAAATACACAAACATGCATGTGTTCGATTTTTTTTAGTAGTCCCTAGGGCTACATTGAGTAAACCTGTATTGTGATGAGAAGGCCCAAACCCCCTCCAGAGTTTTCCATTGTCTCTCTACCATATTACCTCTCCTCTTTTAAGTCAAAGCACATACAGATGATTTGGTAAATTATAACAAACCTCAAAATACATTGCAAAGCTCCCTTTGCAATGGGTGAGGGAAAGGCACAGAGACACACTGGAGTCAGAAGCCATTTTTCCTCTCACAAAGAGCCGAAGCTTGTGGAGAGCTTTTTATTTGAACACACTCACAAATAGCGTGAAACCCCTGTCTGACCAGTTTGCTTCAACTAAAGGAAAAACACCTCGAGCTGAAAGGAGTTTTCTGAAAACACCCAAACATAAAAACAAATAACTAGGTCAGGGTTTTTCCTAACACATTTAAGCAGCAAGGGTGAGTGAACTCTGCTTGATAGGTTTTTCCTAACAAATCCCTGTTTAAGGGTGAGGTAACTCTTCACATAGACAAAGGAAAATATTTCACAACAAAGATGAACAATTAAAAAGATGAACAATTAAAAAATACCTATCACTATTTATGACTTATAAATTTCACAACACACTTATGATGCCATTAGCACAACTAGAATTCATTAAATTTGTTAGAATTCAGAAGTTCACAGAAACCACATTAGGGAATTGATTGTATTTCTACAATATTATTGTTCAAATAATAGTAAACAAAGAATGCTTTAAAAAAGCAGGCATAAATTATTTATTTAATCCAACAAAAATCAGTGAATGAACAAAAGAGAAATCAAAATCACATCATCATATGGTGTGACCACCTTTTGCCTTCAAACCAGCATGAATTATTCTACTTGCACACATGTGTTGAAGGAACTGGGCTGGTTGTCCCAAACATCTTGGAGAACTAACCACAGATTTTCTGTGGATGTAGGCTTCCTCACACACTACTGTCTCTACACGTAATCTCTGACACACTCCATGATGTTGAGATCAGAGCTCTGTGGGGGCCAGACCATCACTTCCAGGACTTCTTGTTCTTCGTTACACTGGCTGGATGTTTATGTTTGAGATCACTGACTTTGCATTTTGTAAATTGATGAAAATAAACAATCATTTTGTCTGAAAGTTTTATTTGTTTACAACATTTTGCTTATAACACTGCTTTGTTCTGTAACTTAAAGCCAAATAGATGGGGGGAAAAAATTAACACTAAGTTGTAAATAGGAAAGACAGGTCAACAGCTAAAGCACATCATTTTGCATGTAGTGGTGTTAACTAAAGTGATTAAATTCGGTGTAAATTTTTTTTGTATTTTTATGAAATTAAAAGTATTATTTCAAACCTTTTTAAATGTATAAGTACAAAATTACATGTAATACAGCAAAATAATGTACAATTTGCGCCCTCAAATCTGCTTGGAATGCCCAATTGTTAAGACCCTCCTGTTATGCCGTAGAACAGAACCAGGAAGTACAGCTGTCGGCTATCTAAACAATATGTAAGCAACATTTTGACGCTAAAAAGTACCTTTTAACAAAACTAGTAATCGTTATTGTCCTTATAGCAACTGGACATAGACTGTTAATGTCTTATTTTTGTAGTTAAACACTTTGAGAAGTAAAGAAAACTTGCGCGAGGCGTTAGCGGAGACGGCTATTAGTTGCTGGTTTCAGTGCCACATCGTCACTAACTCCCAGCAGGACCTCGGTGACTGCTTTATTTTAAGTTCACGCAATAAAAGAAAACTGTTTTAGTTCATTCTAATTTCTACTTCCAGTCATGAGTGTAATTATTACTTTTCAGATATGACTGGACAGATGGGAACAGCTAGTTTTGGGCATATTATGTTGCTATAATTGCTTCATTAAGATGTTGTTTTCACTATAAATCGATATAGATATAATTAGAAACATTAAAACTTTTTAATGTCTAGTGCTGTTTAGATCTTGGTTGGATGAGTGACGATGCATTTTAACTTCGTTTACAGGGGTTGACTTCTGAATTTCGTTCTGAAGAGGCGTCGTCCTCCAGTTGAGTCCAGAGAGAATGAGAGGAGGAAACTGAACACCAGAGGCTTCCACTGTGTTTGAATAACGTGATTTGATCAGTCATGAATCGACAGGAGGAAGAGGAGGGTCTGGCCATCAAAAGGTCAAAGGAAGTGGACGTGTTCACCTCTGTGTGTTGTCTGGGCTACTTGTCCAGCATCAACCTCCTTGTGGGAGTATGTGTTGGCATGTACGTGCGCTGGGAGGTGGCAGGTGAACAGATGATTCTAGTTATCTTCCTCCTGGGCCTTTTTGTCCTGGGAATTGCAAGTATTCTCCATTACTACTTTGCCATGGAGAAAGCCAGCCTGAGCTTGTTCCATTTGTGGTTTGGCTTTCTTCTCGGACTCCTGTGCTTCCTTAACAGCCCCGCTTTAGGATCAAACGTCAAAGAACTCGTCGCCAACTATCTCCTTGTAGCCAGTGTGGTCATGAAAGCATTGTGGGCAATAACTGAGCGCATATGCAGCTATGTTCCCTACAAACCCACCTTCCTGACATCAGCAGAATGGCTTGAGCTCCTGGGGTTTGGGATTGCCAGCACTACTATGCCTTTTCAGATGTCAGTGGCTATAATTTGCTTGGTAGTGGCACTGGGGGCTCTGATGGTGGACCTGAGGATGAAATCCCTTCTAGCTTTGCCCAACCTGATCAGTTTTGCGTTGATCACTTCCCTTGTGTTTTTCCAGGCGTTAGGCATCCCAGCAAACTATTACGCTTTAGGCTGCTACCTGGGCAGACTTCTTTGTGAGCCTGTCTTGGATGTGTACTTTAGTGGCCTGGGACCAAGTGAGCGCTGGATGCCGATGCTCTCTCTGGGGAAGGTGTGGAGGAGACTGTCGCTGTTTCCTCTCTGCCTAATGGAGCTGGCCTTCTTTGTCCTGGCTGCCTTGAAGGTATGCACATCATTCTTTGGAGAAGATGTTACATCAAAGACATTTTTACACAAATATGTCGAAATGTGTGTGGTTTTATTTTATTTATAGTAATTTCATCATGTTTTTGCACAGCTTGGCCACTTGGAGCTGTGGTATCTCGTCATCCCAGGTTTCTGTCTGTTTGGCCTATTCTGGGCCATCTGCCATATCATTTTGCTGATCACTATTTGGGGCTTTCACACCAAGTTAACTGATTGCCAGAAGGCTTGGCGAGCCCATCCCTCAAGCAGACGGAGTCTGGACCAAGTCATGGCCTCACGAGGCATCCGTCACTTCTGCCTCATCTCGGAACGCCTGGTGTTCTTCAGCATACTGTCAACAGTGATACTCGGGGCTGTGTCCTGGCAGGTAGGATACATCGTCAAGCACTGGTAGAGGTACCATCGTAATACTGTTAAACACGATGTTTAGACAGTCACTTGTCTCAGAAACATATAATAAACCGACAGAATTGTTTAGAAAATTATCAGCGATTTTAGAGTGTTTTTGTTACTTCAAGACACGTTGTTGTGACAGTAGAGTAGTGAGAACACAGAGCACTTTCCCAGCTGTAGCCAGCTGCCTCTCGACTACTTTCATAAACTAATGAAATGCTTTCAGCGTCGCACAAATGTTACATAAATGTTAAAAATGTAGCTTACTCTACTCTTGTAAAGCTTCCGGTGCCACTGGGCAGCAGCAGCAGAGATCAGAGACGATCTCTGAAAACTACGCGACACGGAGAAAGTTACAGTTAAGAGGAGAGGCTAACGGGTTTTCCATACAGCATCAGTCCAAGCAAAGCAATCTGTGCTGTTTTTATTTAGTTTTAGTAGCTGTTAACAGAGCACTGTGCATTGTTGTGTGCGTCAGTGATATTCAATCTTTGAGGAAATCATTCAATGACAAAGGTTCCGCCTTGCTTGAAATGCAAGCTGTGATTAAATGCGTGAATTTTTTTCACGCGTAATTTAGTTCTTATTTATTAATCATAATTACTACGTTAAGGTCTCACCCAGTTTTTCCACATACATACTGTGAGGCACTAATAATTAATGCTAAAAAGCTGTAGAAGTGAAACGTTTTCCAAATGTTTTCCTCATCTTAGCCGTGTCAGCTGAAGGACCCGGGCAGATGTACTGTTTCTGGACTGAACTGATAACCCACTTGTGGCACATTTATGTGTCTGCTGTCTAACTCAACATTGATTACATGTAGTTAGTGCCTGTCATGTTTTGTGCTATGATAATGGCAGTGTCAGTCCCTTATTGTGTAACTGTCTCGCTCTCTGTCAGCATCAGTTAAGTGAGTCTGATTACCTCAGTTCGAGCTGGAAGCGCTGAAACAGACTGATTATTTGGGTTTTTGCAGCCCTCCAACGGTCTCTTTCTTGGTGCTCTGCTGGTGGTCCTGCCCTTGGAGTCTCTTGCCCACAGCTTGTTCCATGAGCTGGGCAGCTGCCTGGGGGGAACCTGTGCTGGTTATGCACTCGTCATACCAACCACCTACTCCAGGTACCGATACTTCAGTGAGCTGTTTGTACATTCAATAAACTTTTATTTAACTAGCAACCAAGGTGCACTTTGAAACATCTTAATATGACAATATTAGCAGTATTAACCTCTAAACTTTAGCGTCATTGGTACTAGCCACATACATATGTGGACCTTTTGTTATCGGTCATCCCTTATTTTTCCTCCCATGTTTTATGTCACATTATACTTTTTTATAAAGGTCAAGATACAAAAAAATACTCTTTAATCATCAAAAACAAACATACGGATTTGCAAACTGATCCAAAAATTAGCCTAGCCATCCGTCGTGGGGCAAATTCTACGATTGTCTTTCAAACTGTCTCCGCACGCAACTGGACAGCTCTTGGACCAATTCGAGCAGCAAACAACATGACATACTCATCGCTACGGAAATCAGTCAAAGCATCCCACCGCCGTACATCGTCGACGAAGAAGAAGCAAATACATAATTTTTCAAAATAAATGTCTAAAAAAATCTCTATCTGCTCACTTTTCAAAATTAAAGCTCAAGTTTAAATTGTTCAAGTTGTTCAACTACCAAATGCTTTTGGATCTTGAACTGACACCATATTTGTAGTTTGTCTCAGTCACAGCTCTGGTGCTAAGCCTGCCCAGTGTCTCTCTACAAATATAGAATGCTGTGATTAGCCAGACCAATCACAGCAGGTCTACCATTGTTCAGGCCAATAGTAGACCTGCTGAGGCTACAGTGAAACGTGGCTAGACCAACCTGCAGACAAAAATCTTTTTCAGTTTGAGTAGATTTCTAGGCCAACAAAAAAAAACAAAGTATTTGCTCTGTCTGAGCTGTAAACACTCAATTAGTTGGTTTGTTTTTGGACCACCGATCATGTTTTACACCCCAAAATAATTATATCAAAGCTGTTATTGGTACCCTTTTCAGAACAATCCGTCACATTTCCCTTTCATTAAAGCTAAAGGCCACCCTGGGCTTGCATAGCTCTTATCAGGAAATAGATGTCTGCTGTGATGTTTGTTATGGGGATGAAGGCTGTTTATCCTGCGGCGCAGAAGAGCAGAATAACCTTTTAAAAGCACTGTGTTTGGCCAGACTGGGTGCAACTGTGTGTGCTTTGACTGTCCAGTGTTTCGTTTTCATTTTTCCCCTCATTTTGTGCATATTTTGCGTCCCTGCACCACACGATCTTCTCATTGCATAAATCATCAGCACGGTTTGTTAATTTATTCCACATGTATGTTGGATTATTCACATAATTGTGAAAACATGCAAAACTTTTTTTACACAAATAAGCATTTAATGACCAGCTCAGATAAGCTTTAGACATTTTTTCAGCAACATTAACATTTATCCTCATCCCCCATTAGAATTTGACTTTTTTTTCTTTCTTTTAATCTGTACCATTTAATTATAAAAATATCATATGTGGTAATCAGTTATTTGTTTAAAAAAGTTTTAAAAAATGTCTGTTTCTTGGAACTTCATGATGTGAAAGTTATGTTTGCTACCAGTGATGTGCAGCAGAGTGCTGTATTAATATGTGAAAATGTAAACGACATGTCAAGTCTCTCCTGGTAAACACTATTGCTCTCCCTGACTCTTTCCTCAGTTAACACAAACCAACTGGGATAAATAGGTCGATAACCATGCGTAAACATGGCGTTAATGTTTGGACCCTTGAGGGATCACTCCAGCAGCATACTAAACAGTTCACCATAACTGCTACTGCCGCTAGCTGGGTTCTCTTAGTCTACCAAGCCTTTTTTGTTCATTTCCCCCCCTGAAATTGTTGTAGACAGCAGAAGCTAATCATCAGGTGTGTGTTACTGTGCCGACTTACAAGATCATCTCAGCTGTCTGGAAATCCAGACAGTCTGTTTGTCAGATGATGACCATATGTTCTAAAAATCCTCTGGTGGGTTTTAAATGCTGGTCCATGTTTTGTCAGAGCAGTGGGTGTTCTGCATGCAAGCTTGTACCGGCAGCATCCATAGGGAGGGCTGAGAGCATGATGAGAATACAGCTGTGAATAATCACCTGTTTGATGGCTGCATTTGATTGTGTTTTCACAATGACTGCATCCCCTTAGGGGGATCAAAGCAGTGGGAAAAAGGGACGGTCAAATAGGGAGGGGGTGAAACAACGGAAGGAAAAGAAAAGGGAAGGGGATATAAAAGAGAGGAGATGAGCCCTGACAGTGCTTAGAAGGAAAGGACTGTTTTTTTTTTTCAGAGATGAAAGAGTGTCACTGGAGAATATGTGGTCCGAATCTCAAACTATAAGCTGCAGCTTCAATAAGTGGTGTGAGATCTAAAATAATTAAATTGGTTCGTGAGGGATGGTGAAGTTGTCCAGTTGTGCAGAGGATGCAACATGTGTTTCTGATCAAGAGTATTTGTTTATTGAAGAGGATATATACAGTGGGGCAAAAAAGTATTTAGTCAGCCACCGATTGTGCAAGTTCTCCCACTTAAAATGATGACAGAGGTCAGTAATTTTCATCATAGGTACACTTCAACTGTGAGAGACAGAATGTGAAAAAAAAAAATCCATGAATTCACATGGCAGGATTTTTAAAGAATTTATTTGTAAGTCAGGGTGGAAAATAAGGATTTGGTCAATAACAAAAATTCAACTCAATACTTTGTAACATAACCTTTGTTGGCAATAACAGAGCTCAAACGATTACTATAGGTCTTTACCAGGTTTGCACACACAGTAGCTGGTATTTTGGCCCATTCCTCCATGCAGATCTTCTCAAGAGCAGTGATGTTTTGGGGCTGTCGCCGAGCAACACGGACTTTCAACTCCCTCCACAGATTTTCTATGGGGTTGAGGTCTGGAGACGGCCACTCCAGGACTTTCAAATGCTTCTTACGGAGCCACTCCTTTGTTGCCCGGGCGGTGTGTTTGGGATCATTGTCGTGTTGGAAGACCCAGCCATGTTTCATCTTCAAAGCTCTCACTGATGGAAGGAGGTTTTGGCTCAGAATCTCACGATACATGGCCCCATTCATTCTGTCCTTAACACGGATCAGTCGTCCTGTCCCCTTAGCAGAAAAACAGCCCCAAAGCATGATGTTCCCACCCCCATGCTTCACAGTAGGTATGGTGTTCTTGGGATGCAACTCGGTATTCTTCTTCCTCCAAACACGACGAGTTGAGTTTATACCAAAAAGTTCTACTTTGATTTAATCTGACCACATGACATTCTCCCAATCCTCTGCTGTATCATCCATGTGCTCTCTGGCAAACTTCAGATGGGCCTGGACATGCACTGGCTTCAGCAGCGGAACACGACTGGCACTGCAGGATTTGATTCCCTGCCGTTGTAGTGTGTTACTGATGGTGACCTTTGTTACTGTGGTCCCAGCTCTCTGCAGGTCATTCACCAGGTCCCCCCGTGTGGTTCTGGGATTCTTGCTCACCGTTCTCATGATCATTTTGACCCCACGGGATGAGATCTTGTGTGGAGCCCCAGATCGAGGGAGATTATCAGTGGTCTTGTATGTCTTCCATTTTCTGATAATTGCTCCCACAGTGTATTTTCTCACACCAAGCTGCTTGCCTATTGTAGATTCACTCTTCCCAGTCTGGTGCAGGTCTACAATTCTTTTCCTGGTGTCCTTCGAAAGCTCTTTGGTCTTGGCCATAGTGGAGTTTGGAGTCTGACTGTTTGAGGCTGTGGACAGGTGTCTTTTATACAGATAATGAGTTCAAACAGGTGCCATTAATACAGGTAACGAGTGGAGGACAGAAAAGCTGCTTAAAGAAGACGTTACAGGTCTGTGAGAGCCAGAGATTTTCCTTGTTTGAAGTGACCAAATACTTATTTTCCACCCTGATTTACAAATAAATTCTTTAAAAACCCTGCCATTTGAATTCATGGATTTTTTTTTTCACATTCTGTTTCTCACGTTGAAGTGTACCTATGATGTAAATTACTGACCTCTGTCATCATTTTAAGTGGGAGAATTTGCACAATCGGTGGCTGACTAAATACTTTTTTGCCCCACTGTAATACGTTTTGTCTAATTTTGTAATGAAAAAGGACTCAAAACCGAAACCAGCACAAAGACCTAAACCCTCAGTGGAGTGTATATTCATTACTTCATTAGTGAAAAAGAACTTTTCTAGTACTGACACTATAACTTATATTTGGGTCTACACGAAGCCTGTTCTGAAAAGTCCCCACAGTTAACACATGACTTTTCTGTCAACACTTCAACTTCATCCTGGTAAAATTTCTGCTTTATCTTGAATTTCTGTAAACATTCTTACAGTCGTGGCCGAGAATGACACATATATAGTAAATTGGAAAAGTTGCTGCTTAAGCTTTTACAATAGCAATTTGCTTATACTCCAGAATGTTATGAAGAGTGATCAGATGAATTGCATAGTCCTTCTTTGCCATGGAAATTAACTTAATCCCCCAAAAATGTTCTACTGCATTTTATTGCTGTCATTAAAGGACCTGCTGAGATCAATTCAGTAATCTTCTTGTTAACTCAGGTGAGAATATTGATGCGCACAAGGCTGGAGATCATTATGTCGGGCTGACATGTTAAAAGCAGAGTGATGCTTGAAATCATTGTTCTTCTATTGTTAACCATGGTGACCTGCAAAGAAACGCGTGCAGCCATCATTGCGTTGCATAAAAATGGCTTCACAGGCAAGGATATTGTGGCTACTAAGATTCACCTAAGTCAACAATTTATGGGATCTTCAAGAACTTCAAAGAAAGAGGTTCAGTTCTTGTTAAGAAGGTTTCAGGATGTCCAGGAAAGTCCAGCAAGCGCCAGCATTGTCTCCTAACAAGGACTCCACTACGGTGCCACCGGTGCAGAGCTTGCTCAGGAATGGCAGCAGGCAGGTGCGAGCGCATCTGCACGCACAGTGAGACGAAGACTTTAGGAAGATGGCCTGGTGTCAAGAAGGGCAGCAAAGAAGCTACTTCTCTCCAAAAAACATCAAGGACAGATTGATCGTCTGCAAAAAGTATGGCAAATTGATTGCTGAGGACTGGGGCAATGTTTATTTATTTATTTTTTATCACAATTGTCTATTTTTTGCTCATTTTAAATATATTTTTAACCTTTTTTCTGAATTCTTTTTTATATTTTTACATTTTTTTGTTTTTGTGAAGCGCCTTGTGATTTCTATCTTGAGAGGCGCTATAGAAATTATTAGGCCCGAGCAGCGAAAGCGCTGCGAAGGCCTCTTGTTTTTGCTCTGATTATTATTATTTTTTGTTATTCCGTGCCCCCTTTGAACAGCTTTTTGGGGACCTTAACATACCCCAAAACTCACAATATTTTGCACACTTGTCAGGCCTGGTGAAAAATTTGATATTTTAAAGGTCCCGAAAAAATCGCAAAGAAAATGGCTGAACAGCGCCCCCTACAAAGTGAAAAAAACCCCTCTCCATAAAGCTTAGTTTATCGTACAGTTATGAAATTTGGTACACTTGTAGTACTCAACAGTCCGCACAGAAAAGTCTCTTGCAACCATGGTCAATATCAAACAGGAAGTCGGCCATTTTGGGTTGAAATGGCGATTTTTTGCCGTTTTTGCCGTTTTTAGGGTCCGTTTCTGATTGGATTGCTCGATCATTTTTCGCACGATCGTCTCAAAAATTGTGTAAAATTGCTCAGAAGGGATGGGCGAACAAAATGAGATAAGGATTCTGAGTTTTCGTATATGTTGAAGGGGCGGAGCCAGGCCTCGAAGTTTGACTACTCGCCAAAAATATTTAAATTGCTATAACTTCATAACTGAATGGAATAGAGTTACCAAACTTTCTGTGGTCATTCGTCATCCACCCACAAAGTAAATTGAATGGTCGGATGATGACATCACACAAGCCCCGCCCCCTCAGGACCAAAAAGATCAAGTTTTACTGTGAAAGGTCCCAAATTGCCCCATTTCACTTAATCACCACAAATTTGTAGCTGGTAACTCAAGACAAGTGGGGGTTGCTTGGCGTCACTTTATGGGAGTTTTCGGCAGAGGGCGGGGCTGTGGCGGCGCGGCGAATTCAGGCGTACCGCCTTGGCCTTACGTTTGCCTCCCATTTCGTCATTTCCAAAGATATCGTCACGAAACTTCTTGTGAGTGATCCTAGTCCGGCCCATCAAAAGATCTGATGTGAACATCCGGTGGGCGTGGCCTATTTTCTGAAATAGCGCCCCCTAGGACCATTAAAACTGTCAGCCCCAAGCCATGCTTTGACTGAGGATTACGAAATATGGTACACTAATGTGCTGTCTCAGGACCTACAAAAAAGTCTCTTGGAGCCAAGTGCAAAGTCGCACAGGAAGTCGGCCATTTTGGTCCAAGTACGCGATTTAGTGGTTTTCGCACACGTTGTTTGGAGAGTGATGCTCCGTCGCCCTTTTCACCATTCTCCTTCAAACTTCTGCTATGTACTCGTAAGACATAGGGAAAAAAATTCAACCGTCGGATTTTTCAAAAGTTGAAAGGTGTGGGCGTGGCTAAGCCTCAAACTTTGACCTGCCGCCACGCCACTCTTTTTTTCACAGCTCCCTACTGGACTCCTTTTACCCAATCACCAGGATTCTGTGGGAAACAGCAGTAGACAACTTGAGGTTACTTGGTCTCCAGTACTGGCAGGTTTTGAAAAAAGGCGGGGCTTTGGGAGCATGGCGAAAATCGCCATCACGCCATGGAAATACGTTTGCCTCTCATTTCTTCAGTTATCGTGATATCGCTCCGACACTTCTGGTGAGTGATCCTAGTCTGACCCCCAAGAGAAGTAGACAGCTGAAGTTTGTGGGCGTGGCCTATTCTCTTAAATAGCGCCCCCTAGGTCCATTTAAACTAATAGCCCCAAGCCAAGCTTTGACTGAGGATTGCGAAATTTGGTACACTAATGTGGTGTCTCAGGACCTACAAAAAAGTCTCTTGGAGCCAAGTGCAAAGTCGCACAGGAAGTCGGCCATTTTGGTCCAAGTACGCGATTTAGTGGTTTTCGCACACGTTGTTTGGAGAGTGATGCTCCGTCGCCCTTTTCACCAATCTCCTTCAAACTTCTGCTATATACTCTTAAGACATAGGGGAAAAAATTCAACCGTCGGATTTTTCAAAAGTTGAAAGGTGTGGGCGTGGCTAAGCCTCAAACTTTGACCTGTCGCCACGCCACTCTTTTTTTCACAGCTCCCTACTGGACTCCTTTTACCCAATCACCAGGATTCTGTGGGAAACAGCAGTAGACAACTTGAGGTTACTTAGTCTCCAGTACTGGCAGGTTTTGAAAAAAGGCGGGGCTTTGGGAGCATGGCGAAAATCGCCATCACGCCATGGAAATACGTTTGCCTCTCATTTCTTCAGTTATCGTGATATCGCTACGAAACTTCTGGTGAGTGATCCTAGTCTGACCCCCAAGAGAAATAGACAGCTGAAGTTTGTGGGCGTGGCCTATTCTCTTAAATAGCGCCCCCTAGGACCATTTAAACTAATAGCCCCAAGCCATGCTTTGACTGAGGATTACGAAATTTGGTACACTAATGTGGTGTCTCAGGACCTACAAAAAAGTCTCTTGGAGCCAGGACAAAGTCGCACAGGAAGTCGGCCATTTTGGTCCAAGTACGCGATTTAGTGGTTTTCGCACACGTTGTTTGGAGAGTGATGCTCTGTCGCCCTTTTCACCAATCACTTTCAAACTTCTGCTGTATACTCATACGACGTAGGGGAAAAAATTCAACCGTCGGATTTTTCAAAAGTTGAAAGGTGTGGGCGTGGCTAAGCCTCAAACTTTGACCTTTCGCCATTACTTTACTTGACTTAATAACTCCCATGTGCATGATCAGATCTTTTTCAAACTTTGTCTGTGTGATCATTGACCATATCTGTAAAAAATGACAATGTGGACAGCTGACATCACCTAAGCCCCGCCCCCTGACTACAGGAAGTCTATTTTTTATTCTGAAATACCCATATTTGTCCCCTCTAATTTAGTGAACATGACACTAAGGTCATACACTGTCTTCATGATGTTGTAATGACCATTCAGATCTGATTGCTTTCCAGAAAGGGAGGGGCTTTTATGCCATGGTGAATTCTGGCGTAACGCCGTAACCTTACAATTCAATTTAATGGTGAGCTCAGAGGGGATGCTGAGTCAGGGTGAGGTGCGGACTAGGAAGCCATTTGCAGATTCTGGCGTCGGGGTGGTTGACGATTCTGTTCTGCCAGACGTGCCCTGGTGCCCCGGGCTGCTGGCCAGGCCGGAGCGGCGCAGAGCTGCGAGGGCCGAACGACGCTGCTTGCAGCTTTAATTTCTTCTTCTTTTTCTTCTTCTTCTTCTTCTTCTTTTTCTTCTTTTTCTTCTTCTTCTTTTTCTTCTTCTTCTTTTTCTTTTTCTTTTTCTTTTTCTTCTTCTTTTTCTTCTTTTTCTTCTTCTTTTTCTTCTTCTTCTTCTTCTTCTTCTTCTTCTTCGCCCCTTTCTGATTGTTTGGGGCATTTGGAAAAAGGCTTGTCTGGAGAAGAAAAGGTGAGCGCTACCATCAGTCCTGTGTCATGCCAACAGTAAAGCATCCTGAGACCATTCTTGTGTGGGGTTGCCTCTCATCCAAGGGAGTGGGTTCGCTCACAATTTTGCCCCAAAACACAGCCATGAATAAAGATTGGTACCAAAATGCCCTCCGACAGCAGCTTCGTCCAACAATCCAACAACAGTTTGGTGAAGGACAATGCATTTTCTACCACGATAGAGCACAGTGCCATAAGGCAAAAGTGATAACTCAGTGGCTCAGGGACCAAAATGTTGAAATTTTGGGTCAATGGCCTGGAAACTTGAGAACTTGTGGTCAATCCTCAAGAGGCGGGTGGACAAACAAAAACCCACTAATTCTGGCAAACTCCAAGAAGTGATTATGAAAGAATGGGTTGCTATCAGTCAGGATTTGGCCCAGAAGTTGTTTGAGAGCATGCCCAGTCGAATTGCAGAGGTTCTGAAAAAGAAGGGCCAACACTGCAAATACTGACTCTTTGCATAATTGTCATGTAATTGTTGATGAAAGTCTTTGAAACATGTGAAGTGCTTGTACTCATATTTCAGTACATCACAGAAACAACTGAAACAAAGATCTAAAAGCAGTTCAGGAGCAAACTTTGTGAAATTAATATTTGTGTCATTCTCAAAACTTTTGACCACGACTTTAGTTTATTCTTGAAACTGGAACAAAACTGTCTTTTAAAATGCTGTCATATGAACGTCATGCCCAGAGAAGAAATCAAAATCAATGGAGGGCATATGTGTTCTACTCTTTCTCGTCATCCCCCAAAGCTAATGTCATTTTGTTATAATTTTTTCCCAGTGCCAATGGACAGCCCAGTCTTTTGCCACCAGAGCATGTGCAGGAGTTGAATGTGCGCTCCACCGCAATGCTGAACAACATGCAGCGCCTCTTCTCCCACCACATGATCCAGACATTTGGCTGTGACTACTCAACCAGCGGCGTCACCCTGGAGATCGTGCAGAACAAGATCCGAAGCTTATTGGAGCTCCGAACAGAAGACGGGCCACGTCATGACACATATTTGATTTTCTACAGTGGACATACACACAAAGGCTCTGGAGCCTGGGCTCTGGCTGGTGAGTTCCATACTTCTTTATGTTTTGGAATAAATATGGTTGTTGCTTGGGATTTTCCGCTCACATGTTTTTGCTGAGTCAGAAAAGGGTTGAATGCCCTCTCCGGGTCAGGGATGAGTTCCTACCCCAAGTGGAAGAGTTGAAGCATCTCGGGGCCATGTTCATGAGTGAGGGAAAGATGGAGCACAAGACTGATAGGTGGATTGGTGCTGCGTTTGCAGTGATGCAGGTGTTGTACCAATCTGTCGTGGTGAAAAGAGAGTTGAGCTGGAAGGCAAAGCTTTAGATTTACCGCTCAATCAACATTCCTACCCTCACCTATGGTCGCAAGCTTTGGGTAGGGACCAAAACAACGAGATTGCAGATACAAGCGGCCAGAATGAGTTTTCTCCACAGGGAGGCTGAGCTTTCCATTGGAGATAGGGTGAGAAGTTCAGTCATCCGGGAGAGGCTCGAAGTAGATCTGCTGCTCTTCCACGTTGAGTGTAGCCAGTTCAGTGGCTCGGGCATCTAGTTAGGATGCCTCCTGGATGCACCAAAGCATGTGCTCTGGTGAGGTTTTCTGGGCATGTCCAACCTGGAGGAGACCTAAAGGGAGACTGAGGGCACGCTGGAGGGACTATGTCCCTCAGCTGGCCTGGGAACACATTGGAATTTCCCCAGAGAAGCTGGCCCAAATGGTTGGGGAGAGGGAAGTCTGACCCCGCAACCCGGACCCGGATAAGCGGCCATAAAAGGATGGATTTTTTGCTCCTGATCCGTATCCAAGTTATTGAAATTTGAGGATCTGCCAATGCTGAGTCCTGATCTGACTCTTCAGCAGTGCATTAAAATAAGAAGAAAATAGGAAATTGAAGTTGTCTTTTCAGTTTTTTTATTATCATTTATATATTTCTTTATTTTTTATTGATGTCACTGTTTTAGTTGGCCTGGCAAGCCAGACTAAATAAATGTATTATTTAGTCTGGCAACGCACCATTGGCGGTTCTCGGTTGTGGGGCTGGTTCTACCGTTGTCTTTCAAACGATCTCCACATGCTACTGAACACGAACAATGCGACATACTCACCGCAACGGATGAAATAAAAACGAACAATGTGTGTTATTAGGGAAATAGCGGGTGAACGGTGTTGAAGCATGATTGCGCATGCGCCGTGAGCGGTTCTGATACTTTTTGGGTCGCAGCTGCTCGCAGCGCCGCTTCAACAGTGCGATACCCTCACGAGGAACGAGCAAAATTTCAAACACGCCAGAAGTTTGTGCGAGCTCACGATTGCTGATCGGTAGCTGTTCACGTGGTGTTAATCGCCTCTCGTAACCCCCTGTACACTACACGACACTCGGCGCAAAACTCGCCCCGATCTCGTGGATTCTCGCACGAGTGGAAAATCGGCTCAAAAAAGTGAAAAAGTCGCACAGTGTACGCCCGGCTTTAGCGGCTGGTGATTTGTGTTCTCTTATGCTATGTTGTTTACTGTGACACTTGTAATAAATCTGAGTCCTTTCATACATTTCCATGACTCCAGTTTCCTTGGGCAATAATGGTCCTGCGTGCTTTGGTAATATAGCACTTTGTCACACCAGCACTCCCTTTTCAAAATGAGGTTTTTAAACTCAATGGGACCTTCCTGGTTAAATAAAGAATACATAAACAAGGCTAAAATTGATATCATGCGTGTGTGCGCACGCACGCACGCACACACACACACACACACACACACACACACACAAGACTCTTACGAATTATCTGTCCCATATGCAGTTAAACCATTAAACTTCCTCCCTCCGGGTAACACTGGCCCATTCAGCCTTTCAGTCCTTTTGTCCCGAGAGCAGGGTTGGAACGAAGGGATTAACCTGCGGCTCCCCTCGTAGTTAGTCACCGTACCATCGACTGAGCTTGTCCCAAACTGCGTGCCGGGCATGTCAGCTCCTCCACATGGATCATTTATAAACGGGGCTGCGTAGATACAAGCCTTCGTCTCATTAACTCGGGATACAACCCAGAAATCACGGCAAAGCAGCAACCCTCTGGAGTTCAACAAGATGCACGGCGGCTGAGTGCTAGTTCTCTCCTGCAACACAAAACAAACATCAGAATGCTAAAAGGCTGAAACATGCATGAGAGCAACAAACAAACATGTACCATGCCGACGCCGTGCCTCTCAACTCCCCACCCCCAAATGGGGCGAACCGATACTTCTTCAAAGCCTGCCAAGCCCAACATTAAACATTAAATACTGTCACATCGCCCAAATAAAGAAAACCCGGAAACACCCACCTACACCGCACCACGAGCAGCACATCACGCCCCCACTCCTCCAGGGGGCCAAACCCGATCTCCTCAACAGACTCAGGACAAATGATTCTCGTGTCACACAGTGCAAGCGACTTTTAAACACTCCTAGCGCTCCCTGATTGGCCCCGAGTCAATCATCCCAAAACTGTACAGCTGTGCCAACACTAAAAAAAGGCCAGCTGACAACCTCATTTGCCACACTGGGCAAGAGGCTGATAAAATGACAGTTACATTTGTTTTAGCTACACAGACATGTTATATACAAAATTACAGAAGGCAGTTACAACACAGGGAATCTGTCTCAAGAGCTCTCAGTCTGGGTTTTAAATTGTCCTTATATTATATGATGAAAGTCATTTTGCATTCCTAACAAATAAAAACACACTTTCAAAAATCCCCCCCACCCCCCACCCCCACCCCCCAGTGGTGAATACATCCAACTGATACAAGTCTGATCACATCAGTCCGTGTTTTATTATTGTTTATTTAATAGGGACAGATCATGTCACTGTCTTCATTTTATTAATATCAATGCAAGTAGCAGTAATAAAATCATGTTTAACATGAGCTAATGCAACAATCAGTACTATATATGAGGTCATTTTGGTGAATTTAAGCATAAAATAGCATATTCAGGAAACCAGGAAATAGCATCTAGGATGAACTAATACTGTCTGTATTTTCTCATCGTGGATTGGGCAATCAAAGTTTAAAATTAGTGGCTGAGAAAACCTTTGGGAGTGGCCTGCAAAACGGCGTCTTTTACGTCGTCGGGAAAGTCACAGAACGGCGTAAAAGAAGGTGTTTTGTGCTGTCAAACGCCGTCTTTTACGCCGTTATGAGGACGCGCGAGAAGTGCCTGCAGTTCGGCGTTCAATGCGGCGTTCAACGACTAGAAAAAAATGTCATTTTTTGCGGCGCTCTGAAAGACTACATGAAGACGGCGTACAATATGGCGTTCTGAAGGGATTTCCGCCGCTTTTTTTGGCATTTTAAAGTTTAAAGACGGCGATTAAGACATCGTTAAATAACCAAACATGCTCAAAAGTGGGCGAATTGTGATCCCTAAGGCTTGCGATAGTTAATTGCCCAGTTTGCACACCTTACAAGTGTCTGTTCTAGTCCCTTTGATGACCAGTTTTAAATACATCCAAAATACAGACATTTTCTCTCTCATCCTTTTTGTGAAGTTTACACAATTGTTGACGAGCCTTCCCGCTCTCAAACCGACTGGACACCCAATGGTAGGTTACCACTAGGGATGCAGAGATACCACTTTTCTCCAAACTAACATGATACTGATACTTGGATCCGAGTACTCACCAATACCGATTACGGATACCGATATTTCTACCACACAAAAAATTGCAATGAATTTGAATACAGGTTTTATTTTCTTCTCTGCTTTCAACAGGGAAAGAGTGTTGGGTAGATAAAAAACAAAATATATGAATAGAAATAATGAAACCTAAAATATTAGGTGATCAGAAATGAGAAGTTACAGTAAGCCACTTTCAGGCAACTGCATTGGTATCTGTATCGGTGCGTCCCTGGTTACCACGGTGATGTCTCCAGCTCCTCAGTTACGTGATGAACTTTGTGCATTATCTCAGTGTTCCCCTATGAACACAAAGGAGCTTCCCTAAACAGATAGCCACGTCAGAGTCTCAGGTCTGAAGGGTCTGAATTGTATACTTTTCTGAAGATGTGAAGTCCCATGTTGGAATAGACTTCAACTATTCATCGTAACAATGCTGACCAATTCTAAATGATGCTGTAATTTCTTAGACTTTCAGCTGCTTTTATTGTTTATTTATATAATCATTTTTTTTTCACTAAATCAAAGAGCACCCTCTGGTTTCAGGAGGTGAGATGCTCCACCTTGCCCAGTTGATTGAGATGTGGAAGGAGAAGAACGCCGGCCACGGCTCCAGACTCATTGTCGTCCTGGACACACAGAACTCCCTCCCTTGGGTCAAAGAAGTACGACGGGTGGAGGGCATCTACATGGCGGTGCAAGGTGCTGAATTGTCTGCGTCCAATCTCGATCCAGAGTCTGGAAATGTGCCTTTGCTTGGCGACTTCACCTCTGAGTGGGTGGAGTTTAACTGCAACCCAAACAGCGACACCCAGTGGTCTGACAAAGAAAGGACTGGGACGGCCATGTACGGGGTGTCTAAACGCTGGAGCGACTACACCCTACACCTTCCCACAGGAAGTGACGTGGCCAAACACTGGAAGACCCACTTCCCCAAAGCTACATATCCTTTAGTCTACCTTTCCAACTGGTGCTGTGGCCTCAACCTGTTCTGGCTGTGCAGCGTGTTTCTGCGCTGCTTCAGGAGGTGTAAGCTAGCCTGGTTTCCTCCAGCTGTACTGGACACCGGACAGGGCATCAAACTGGTGCACTCATAGTAGCATGTTTGCTACAACTCATTTATAATAAGCAGCTAGGCTATTCCACCGGGGATTTACATAAGATTATTATATACAGATGCATCAAATAGGGAATAAATTAGTTTTTGTTATGTTATTATTGTGGGAAAAGTATTTTCTGTTCATGCAAAATTCCTTTTAATTTAGGTAAATCCTAACTGGGGAAGAAATATTTTTAAACACTAATATTATTTCTTGTCTTTATTTTTGTCATTTGTCAGACAAAAGAAAAAAACACTAAATCTGAAGGATATTTGAAACTTTAGTCATAGTGCCATTATTTATACCGTATCGCCTCTATTGCAGGATTTAGCATTATCAGGTGTGTTTTTTTTGGTACTGGCCATAAAGTCATTCCAAAGCCTTTCTACAGCAGACATGAAGTGGATCAATGATGTCAGATCTTGCTCACCAAAGTGTGTTTATTTACTTATTGCTAGAATTTATGAAGATGCTTTGGCTGTTTGTACGGAAACATAAAGCTGCCACCCACGCAAAATAAAATGAGAGCGATATCATGTAACAACATGATATTGCTAATTTTATTTTGTTTGGGTGGCAGTTCTGTGTTTGTAGCGTTGTGCCAAAATATTTATTTACTCAAATTCGTAACCAGACAAGTCTTGTGTGCTACAAAAATCCAGTTTAGTTGGGTTTTCTTTTGCCATTTTTATTGTCCACTGTGAAAGTTGACTAACTTTTGTTTTATTTTATGTTTTGTCTTTCTTTATTTGTCTATGCTGCCTTTGCTAGTTTGATTCCTATGTTTTCAGTGATATAACACAAGTTGAATCATTAAACTCATAAAAGCTGTTGAGTGCTGAAATTTCATTGAAAATTGTGTTTCCAATTGATAGAAAATATGAGTTTGATATAGAGATCGATTAGCAGATTGATGCTGCATCTGCAGTGATGTGGGTGTTGTACCAATCCGTCGTTGTGAAGAGAGAACCGATCCGTCGTCAAAGCTCTTGTTTTACCGGTCGATCTACTTTCCTACCCTCACCTTTGGTCACGAGCTTTGGGTAGTGACTGAAAGAAAATGATCGTGGATACAAGCAGCCAAAATTAGATTTCTACGCAGGGTGTCTGAGCTTTCCCTTGGAGATAAGATGAGAATCTCGGTCATCTGGGAGGGGCTCAGAGTAGACCCGCTGCTCCTCCACGTCGAGAGGAGCCAGTTGAGGTGGCTCGGGCATCTGGTCAGGATGCCTCCTGGATGCCTCCCTGGTGAGGTTTTCCAGGCATGTCCAACCGGGAGGAGACCTAAAGGTAGACCCAGGAAATGCTGAAGGTCCATGTCTCTCGACTGGCCATGGAACACCCCTGGGATTGCCCTGGAGGAGCTGCCTTGGCTTCTAAAATGTGGGACTGTGTTTAGAAGTTGATCTGAATTGTATCAAAAGGGGGAGCCCGAATATTACATGCTAATAAATTGTTGCTTTATGAAGTTAAAACTGTAGTGCGATAAATCTACCTTCCATTTCAAGCGCTTAGTTTTGTTTTCTTGTTTTTTACTTTACTATTTTCCTGTGCTGTCTGTCTCTAATCTTCCTGCATCTTGAGTTAATGCATCCCTGCATCTTCCAGGGGAGCCCTCACCCTTTCAGGGGAGCCTGGCCCCCCTTAGATCTCCCGTAATTTGAACTCTGCCTGAGAAAACACCTCAAAACTCCAGAATTCTTTGTGTTTTTGTTCCCAAATGGAACATTGCTAATATGAACCTTTTCAAAGCAACAATAGAAGTAAAGGTGGTATTTAGTTTTTTTTAAGTGACTACTGGTGCCTGAGGCCAGGGATTCATGTTCATAACCAGAAGCATTAGATTATGGGATGGATTCATCTCCTAAACTGGATTAGGTAATAAAACAGTCAACCCTACCCCCCTCTGTGGAGCCTGTGTGGATTAGCTGAGTCAGACCCCACTACAACACACACACACACACACGCACAGATGCACAATGCGATGCACCAGTGTTTTTTACTGTCTCTCTGTTCCTGATCCTCTGCAGCTGAGTCTCATTCCAGTGGATAATTAGAGTCTGTCATGACTTTCTACCTTCGGAAAGCTATTTGGCTGATGCTTGTCCTCAATTTCATCAGGAGGAACTAAATGAATTTGTTAGATAAATCCAAGCGCTGCAATTAAATGAGCACAACAGCTGTTTATTCAGCTTTTTTGGAATGCTCAGAGGAAGTTTGGGGCCTTTGGGAAAAAAAAGAAGTCTTGCTTTTGAATCCAGTTTTTATCTAATTAAAATACTCTCCTTTTTTCCATAACAGCTGACTCTGCACTGAGGTCCTGTTGGGAGAGATTTGTCTTTCAGGCTTTAAAGGTTGCAGGGAGAATGAATGTTCAACGTCCTTTTGAGGAACAGAAATAGCAACAAGGAAGGAAAGATTACAGATCCAGCAGCATCACTACTACAATGTTTTTTTTTATGTTTTGCCCCAATTTCCAAGTGGCCTCCTTGCCGGGACTCGCAGTAGCTGACATTGAAATATCAAAGCCATTATCTGAAATTACAAGGGCGTTTAGTGGCCGTTTAGTCACCAAGCACCACGCTCAGAGTAAACTTTCTCAATCCCGGGCTTTCTCCGACAGCCATATGTTCATTTTAATATAACTCGAAGAGACACCACGTTTGGCTGGATGCTACCTTGTTGCAAACTCTGACTCCATGTTTACAAATTATTCATCTCATCCAATTTGGCACGAGCATTTCCAACATCTGCAACTGTTGTGGAATTGTATCAACTTGTCTTGCAGCAGAAGCTTACAGTTGTGGTCAGAAGTTTACATACACTTGTAAAAAATATAATATAATGGCTCTACTGAGTGTCCCGTTATTTCTAAAACTCTGATTTTTCTCTGATAGAGTGATTGGAACAGATACTTCTTTGTCACAAAAAACATTCATGACGTTTGGTTCTTTAATGTCTTTATTATGGGTTAACAGAGAAAAGTGATCACATTTGCTGGGTCACAAATATACATACAGCAACATGATCTAGCAATTTTGGTGACTTAGAAACGTGTCAGTGAACTGAGCTTCATAGCATGGCCTCTTAACTTCTTGTGAGTGATTATGAGTGACTACAGCTGGTGACTTCTCTTAGGCCAGGTAAATAGGGCTCATTGGATACAAACGCCCACAAACGCTACAATGGGAAAGTCAAAGGAGCTCAGCATGGATCTGAAAAAGCGAATTATTGACTTGAACAACTCAGGAAAGTCACTTGGGGCCATTTCAAAGCAGCTGCAGGTCCCAAGAGCAACAGTGCAAGCAATTGTTTGTAAGTATAAGGTGCATGGCACTGTTTCATCACTGCCAAGATCAGGAAGAAAACGCAAGCTATCACCTGCTGCTGAGAGAAAATTGGTCAGGAGGGTAAAGAGTGAACCAAGAATCACCAAAAAGCAGATCTGCCAAGAATTAGAAGCTGCTGGAACACAGGTGTCATTGTCCACAGTCAAACGTGTTTTGCATCTCCATGGACTGAGAGGCTGCAGTGCAAGAAGGAAGCCCTTGCTCCAAAAGCGGCACCTTAAGGCTCAACTGAAGTTTGCTGCTGATCACATGGACAAAGATAAGACCTTCTGGAGGAAAGTTCTTTGGTCAGACGAAACAAAAATCGAGCTTTTTGGCCACAATGCCCAGCAATATGTTTGGAGGAGAAAAGGTGAGGCCTTTAACCCCAAGAACACCATGCCTACAGTCAAGCATGGTGGTGGGAATATTATGCTGTGGGGCTGTTTTGCTGCCAATGGAACTGGTGCTTTACAGAGAGTAAATGGGATAATGAAGAAGGAGGATTACCTTCACATTCTTCTACATAACCTTAAATCATCAGCACGAAGGTTGGGTCTTGGACGCAGTTGGGTGTTCCAACAGGACAATGACCCCAAACACATCAAAAGTGGTAAAGGAATGGCTAAATCAGGCTAGAATAAGGGTTTTAGAATGGCCTTCCCAAAGTCCTGACTTAAACCCCATTGAAAACATGTGGACGGTGCCAGTGGCGGAGCTTGATATGTGCAACATGTGCGGCCGAACAGGGCGGCAGTCTGCAGGGGGCGGCATTTAATTTTTTTTCCTAAAAAAAATTTTTTTTTGCATCAACCAATACATAAACAAAACATAGAAATCGCATGTTCTTAATAATAATAGTGATGATAATAATATTTCTGTAATAAAAGCACAACAAAGTGTAACCCATATCAACTACTCCCTGTCACATGACCCACGTCAGCTGATGTGAGGTCCCTCTCCTGATTGGCTCCTTCCAAGTTGCGGCAACCATGAAAGCTGCTCCTGCCGTAAGCTTGTTGCTTGTAGAACGGTGTTGGAAAACAAAGCGTTTTTTTCCCCCTCAATTCATTTATACTCTCATTTTACCTCAGCGGTAAGTGTTCTTAACATCTACCAATAACACCCTTTTACTTGTCAGTGACCAGTCGATCGTTTTCGCTATAAAAAAATGACCTTGTTCGGCGGAGTTCCCACCGCGAGCAGAACTCCGGTTCGAAAACGCTGTTTTTGAAACACTTTTATTTACTTAAGCACTTTAATGGGCTTAACTTGAAACCAAGAGCAATCGAATGATTATTGTTATGTGTTGCCTTGAATTCGGCTATGCTGTCTGTCAGACAGTTGTTTTCCTTTATTGTTGTTTTTGTATTTGTTTGTAGCAAACGCTACTGGAATGCATAGATTGAGCTACGTAGCCAAGATGATTAATAATTGACCTGTTGTACATTCGTGATATGTTTACCGGTAAACTGAATCGAACTTGATGTGCTAATGAAAATTTCTCTGGCCTAAAGGTCAGGTTTTTTTCCCCATGTTGAACTGATCTTCTTCATATTGAAGTGGCAAGCTGGTAGGACCATTCTTTCTTCTTGGAATCGGGAAATTAGCTATTATTTACCCCATGAAAAACGGAGCGGCAGCGGGCCGCTGGAGGTGCCCTGCTAGTATGATCCCGTTTAAACTGTAAACTGCCATAAAATAAAAACTATAATAGCTAGAGCGGTCTTTTTTTAGCTGAAAGTTTAGACTCTCGCCTTTCAGCACATCTGTACTGTACAAGTCGATGATGCCGACATGTTGCGTTAAGTGTGTCTATTTCAGTAGAACTTTGACAAGTGGTGAGAAGGTGGCCAGGAGCTGGATGTTGTATTCAGTTAGCAAACGTTGTTATATATACACTCCACACAATCTGAAACAAAGTTGTAGGTGTACTGTTTTTTCGTGTGTGTGGGGGGGGGGGGGGGGGGGGGGGGGGGTCACAGGGGGATCTCGCACAGGGCGCCATTTAGGCCAGCTCCGCCTCTGGACGGTGCTGAAGAAACAAGTCCATGTCAGAAAGCCATCAAATTTAACTGAACTTCACCAATTCTGTCAAAAGGAGTGGTCAAAGATTCAACCAGAAGCTTGCCAGAAGCTTGTGGATGGCTACCAAAAGTGCCTAATTGAAGTGAAAATGGCTAAGGGACATGTAACCAAATATTAGCACTGCTGTATGTATATTTGTGACCCAGCAAATGTGATCACTTTTCTCTGTTAACCCATAATAAAGACATTAAAGAATCGAACTTCATGAATGTTTTTTTGTGACAAAGAAGTATGTTCCAATCACTCCATCAGAGAAAAATCAGAGTTTTAGAAATAACGGGACACTCAGTAGAGCCATTATATTATATTTTTTACAAGTGTATGTAAACTTCTGACCACAACTGTATATGTCTCAATTGTCCAAGGATGAGGCTACTGGTGATACATGAACGGAAGACAAGGATTTATGAGCTTC